TATTCTTGACAGAAACAATGATGTGGAATTATTTTCCCCTTTTCTATGGGAGCCGGTCATCCAAAGTTTTAACAAGAGATTGTCTGGTTGGAAAGCTTCCACACTATCTATGGCGGGCAGATTGGTGTTGTTAAAGTCAATACTGTCCTCTATGCCAATTTTATTCCTCTCTTTTTCCTAATAAGATTTAGGTTGGCTAGATGGTTTCTAGCTAAGTTTCCTAATATCCAAATACAAGTTGATTTGTTGGTAGGGGACCCCTCTTTAGCAGACAGGTTTGGTTACCAGAATACTCACAGGAGTTTGAAACAAAGTTGGCAGCCTCCCCCTACAGATTTTTATAAATTTAATGTTGATGGGGCTGTCAAGTCTGATGGGATGGCCGGAGGAATTGGAGGTATTTTGAGAGATTGTAATAGCATCATCCTATCGACCTTCTCTGTTAGTATTGGTCCAGGCCCTCCTCCGTTGGCTGAACTAAAAGCTATTAAGAAAGGCCTAGACTTTTTTCTATCATCAGATTGGGCTATAAAGGGAAGATTGATCTTAGAAAGTGACTGTAAATCTGCTGTAGACTGGATTCTGCTGCCTAATTCTGTTCCTAGTTTCTTCAGTTCACTTGTTGAGGATATTGCGTCTTTAGTTCAAGAGAGGGCGGTTATTATTCGATGGATTCCTAGGGGATGTAATTGGGAAGCAGATAAATTAACTAAGGATGGGATTGGTCGATTGTAAGGGTATTTTTATAGGGTGTTTTAAGATTATAGTTTTATTCTGATGCCCTAAATGTATTGGTGTAATTTATTGTAATAGTTTCTCTATTCAATAAACTAAGGCACTCTTTTCCTCCTTCCGCTAGTTACTCTTTCTTAGAGTTAACTAAGAGGGAGGTTTTTAACGAAGGCCTATTTTTCCTATCAAATTTTTTTTTTCAGAATTCCGAGCAAGGTCTATAGGAAGTTAAATTCTTTGATGGCCAATTTTCTTTGGGGGGGTGGTCCATCAAAAAGTCGTATTCACTGGGTGAATTGGAAAAGGGTGTGTCAACCCTTTGAGGAGGGAGGTTTGGATCTGAATTTTGCAAACAGAGTGTTGCTAGGTAAATGGGTCTGGAAGTTCGCAAATGAAAAAGACACCCATTGGAAAAATTTGATTTGCAGCAAACATAATGTTAGTAATCTGTCCCTAGCTATCAATAAGGCATTCTTTCCTTTGGACTCATGGATTTGGAAAGGTATTAATAAGAACTATTTGAAAAATGATGCTATTGGACAGGGACTTAGATCTCACTCTAAGATTCAAGTAGGCAATGAAAAGTCTATTTTATTCTGGCACGACGTTTGGATAAACGAGGATTCTTTAATGAATCAATTTCCAAGGATTTATGCTCTTTCAAATAACAAGTGGGGAAAAGTTTCAGAGTTTGGCTGTCTAGTGAGCAACAGATGGGTTTGGAATATTCAAACGAGAAGGAATTTATGCGATTGGGAATTGGATTACTGGATTCAATTAATGTCATTGCTTGAGAATATTGTTATGTCTGATTCGGTGGATGATTTTCTGTCTTGGTCGGGGACAGGTGATGGACTGTTCTCGACAAAAGCATGTAGGCTGACTTTTTTACCAAATCTGGGGGTATGTTCAACTGGAAAAAGTACGTTTGGATAGGTTTGGCTTCTCCCAGAGTCGAAACTTTTCTGTGGCAGGTTTCACATCAAAGATTGGCGGTTAGAACAGAGTTGAAAAGAAGAGGTGTTACATTGGAGGATGTCCTTTGTCCGTTTTGTTCAAAGCAGGAAGAAACAGTTCAGCATCTTTTCATTTCGTGCTTTGTTGCAGGGGATTTATGGAATAGTTTTTTCAGGTTATGGAAAATCTCTTCAGTCTTGCCTAAAGATCCATTTTCTGTGCTGAGTTCATGGTCTGATATTAGGCCAAGATCTGAAATATGGATTTTATTCCAGGAGTTGTTCTGTGGTCAATATGGAAGGCTAGAAACTCGGTGGTTTTTGATAATTGGAAACTGGACAGATCTACTCTTTTCTTTATTTCCAGATTTAGATTGGCTAAATGGTTTCTTGCTAAGCATCCGGATGTCACTATTCAGGTCGACTCACTTGTTGGGGACCCCACACTTGCAGACAAGCATCAGACTTCTATCTTCAAGAGAATGAACGTTCAGGGTGGCTTCCTCCTCCTGTACATTTTTTTAAAGTTAATGTTGATGGGGTAGTCAGTGGGGACGGGCGGCTGGGGAATTGGGGGCATTTTATGAGATTTGAACAGTAAAATTCTAGGGTCTTTTTCGAATGGTGTTGGTCCAGGTCCTCCTCCTCTGGCTGAGTTGAAAGCCATTGAGAAAGGCATTGATTTCTTTCTCTCGTCTGCTTGGGCTACGAAGGGAAGGCTGATAATTGAGAGTGATTGTAAATCAATAGTGGATTGGATTTTGTTGCTGACTTCTGCTCCTTTTTTTAGTTCAATGGTTGAGAAAATCGTTTCCCTAGTCTCGGATAAGGAGATTATTGTTACACATCCCGAGGAGGTGCAATTGTGAGGTAGATACTTTGGCTAAACAGGGAATTGGATGATTACTTATGTTGTTTTTAGAGGATTTTCAGTACGGTTTTGGTGGCTTACTGTTGTTTGGGGCTGAGATAGTATTGATGTTTAAGGGTGGTTAGGTCGTTTTAGTGTTTTTCATTTTCTGTTGAGTGTGTTTTTTGGTTCTGTGAAGTGTCTTCTGGTTGTATCTTATGTACTTTTCCTATGATTAATATAATCCTGAGGCACTCTTTTCCTCCTTCCGCTGATTAAGGAGCTTTCCTAAAAGATCCATTAATCAAGAAGGGGGTTTTTAATGAGTGAAATTCTTATAAAAAAAGTAATGTAAATTACATGTCATCAGTGCCATTAAGTTTTTAATGGTGGGTACCAAATTAAAACCTAAACTCATCGTTAGATATGGTTTTGGAAAAAAAGTAAAGTTTAAACGGAACAAAAGTGACAGTTTAAGTACTAAACATGTAGTTTAGCCATTTATTTTTTTCTAGTTTCTCCAAGTAGTTGATGTCTTTGGAGGGTAATATCCCCATACTCATGCCCCTATAGGCACTGGCAATAAGTTTCAGGCAGTGGTATTTTAGGACCATGTTGCTCAGATTCTTTATTGTTTTTGAATTACTCATATTCGACTCATGTCCAGCACATTCAGGCAAAGGTATGGGGATATAACTCTCGAAATAGATGGAAAAAACTTCGAAAAATTAAAATTACTTGTGTCTCGCACATACTCGAATTCAAACTCGTAGTCGTAACCGTGTCGTAGTATATGATTAAGATGAGCGTGGTTTGTGACCCTATAGTTTTCGTAACTGGTAACTTATATTATTTTTTGGGTGTTAGGTGATTGGCACATGGCATACATCTGCATGTACAAGGCTCGCACTGTTTCAATGTAATCTTTTTATTTCATTATGAAGTGTACTTTTGGTATTGTTTTGCTTCGAGCATGAACCTGTGAAATGGCCAAATAGATTTTACGAAATTGTGTTGTACTTTTATACTTTTGTTTATTACATTCACTTTGATTGAATGTTTATTACCCTAATTTTACATTTACAATATCTTTAATTTTGTTATCGCATCCTTTGTAATTTATAATGTAGTATATGTTCAGAAGATTTTTTCAGCCACCGACAATGTTTATATACCCTATAGTTCTTTGTACGTTGGATTGGACGTGACATTTTACGAAAATAATACAATAACCATCCAAATGAGAAAAATGTAACTAAAGAATGATTCTTGATACTCTCTTTTTAAAATTGTAAACTAAAATTTTCATTACATCATTATAAAAAAAGGGGAAAATAAGTACGAATTAAATTACTTTAGTAGTTAGAAGAATTATTACTATTCTTAGAAGTTTTAGATTTATGCACCAACGACTAGAGTATTTAATAAAAAGGAAAATATGAAAACAATAAATTTATTTGTTTATAAATACAATAAATAAACCTAAAATGAGGTATATTTTTTATACGTAAGCTTGGCCTAAATTGAAGTTTTGAATATTTATCTTAATATTTTAAGATGATTATAAGATATATCTATTTTAAAAAAAATTAATCAAGAGTGAGGGAACTTGATGGGTTTAAAAGCTTTCATTATTTAGAATAAACTGTTAATGGCAGTGTAAGAATAAAAAATAAATATACCTAATCATTGTTTAATATTAAAATTGAGATATTTGAACTTCTAATTATTGACTCTTCAATCTAGATTTTTTAATCGTATGGGGTGATTATAAGGTAGTATTTGTTTAAAATATTTCTTAAACATTGATAACGCACACACCCTAATTCGTACTTTTATAATTAAATATTTTATTATTAAAACTTGCACTTTTGTTACTAACATATTTATATTTTGATCCCTAATTAGAATGCGAAGCTCACCTAAATTAATTTAATTTAAACATATACTACCTCGTAACCCTATACTATTAACAAAAAAAAATGTACCATTTCATTTCGTTAACCCTCAACACCTTTCTTTTTCTTTTCATTTTCCTTTACTAATATTTATCCAAACATAGGGATAGGTAGATCCAATGAAGAAGACAATGTTTAAACATCAAAGAAGTTGAATATAAATTTATGTCAATGGTTTCAAAATTGTACATTATACAGAGCCCTACAAACAAGATTGGAGAAACTCAGATAAAAGGGATGAAATATAACCTCAATTTCGAATGTGTCAAGTAGTCTAAAACTGTAAATACAATTTACCCCACAAAGAATCAATTAATGAAAAAGAATAATAGTAGTAGTAAAAATCTATGTTACTCAGACTAGGGTAAGTATATGTATCCGACAGGGATGTATTCAGTTTTGTCCAAGTTGACGGATCCATGCCGGACATGAGGCATCGGTACTTCGACGAGAATGAAGAATCGGAGCAACATAGAGAATGATGATAATAACAAAATAATGATGGCAAACCTTCAAATGAAACTAAATTCAAGAGCATTGTTATGAAGGATTCTCTTGGTTCTTTTCGAGCGAACGTGTTTTTCGATTCAACTTCCCTCCAAGACTGCTGATGTATGCATCAACTCGGGCCGTGAATCCGACCTTTGTCTTCTCTCTCGCCTTTGTTTTCTCCCTTTTCCACATGACTTGATCCTTCTCATCTTTCTTCAAGTACTTCATCTCTTGGATGATATGATGATCCATTGGCTGGAAACATCTTTGCAAAGATATATGAGCAAGGTATGGAAGAGTACAAGCTATTGTAACTAAGAGGGTTGTTGTCCAATAGATGGGTGCAGGGGCAAGGGCTTCTGTGAGGATTAGGAACACGTTTTTCGAATATGTTGGAGATAACATGCCGTAAAAGAAGAGAAATAAGAACCAAGCGATAACGCTGAGCCAGATTAAGACATGTTGGATCCATGTATAGTGGGTCATTATGAGAGTGATTTGGAAATTGACAGCACAGATGATGCAAGTGAACATTATCGTACCCAAGATAGCCATGTCGGTAGTCTGGCCTTCGACACGGTAAGCTTGGTCATAGAAGATGACGATATTGAGGAAGAAAATGACGATGGAGGAATATAGACCATTTCCCATCCACCCAAGTATCCTATACCAGTCAAAAAACAGGTTTCTAGGTCCTTGCTGATATAATGTGGGAAACTGCAACACCAATAGGCATATATGCAAATGCTTATAATAATGTCACCGCTAACATGGATGAATTACAGATGAAAGAATTGATTGCAGACTAACCTCTAAGCACACGTCGGAAGAAACATCTTGCTCAAAAACTCCTAGTGAAATTACAGGCATTGAGGTAAGAACGACATTAAATAATATCATGTACAAGTCGTCATAAACTGATTGTCCAGAAAAGCCGGTGAATGCCTCGAAGTAGAAGAGGGTGAGGCCAAATGCTATATTCTTGTAGAAGAAATAGCAGACCTGAATCCAAAAATACCAGAGTTAACCTGGTACAGTTAGAGGAGGACAAAGCATAAAATGTACAAGAAAAAGAAACCCAATGAAGACAATCACTAATTGTCACCATCTGTGAAATCCTCTTATAGCACCAGTGTCCATGAACAACGAGAAGTCTTTCCAAGAAACGGAATTGGGAGACAGAGAAATCACTAGCCATTACAGCCTGCAAAAACAGGACAAGTCATGTGTTCATTGACATGCAATAATAACTTCTCTTAAGAAGCATCATTGTCAAGAAAGAACAGTTATATGTACTATTTGTCTTAAAAATATTATGTCAAGATAGAGCACCTTTTTTATTTTTTTTGAAGAATGTCAAGATAGAGCACTTAAAGCCTATAATATAGTACTTCAATATCTTTTCGTACAATTAAAACCAACATTACCGAGTCTTCGTTTTCCTAGGAATACCCAGCTTTGACACACATTCGGACATGGGATGGGAGTATGGTTCTCCAAATATATGGAAAATTTTAGAAAATAAGAGCATACTCATGTCGAATGCATACCCATATTGACACTCAACCCTGAGCCCAAGTAACAGATTAAAAGAAGCCTAATAATATCATTATCTCCTGATGAGGATGCACAGAAGAGAAGACGAAAGGAACCATAAAGCTCGAAAAAATGATTACTTCTTTCTCCTGTATATATAGCATGAATTCAGAAAAGGACCAAAGGATCAGATTCCCATCCAAAGCTCACCTTTAATGGGATAATATATTCTTTTCAACAATTCATAACCATGAAATATCATTAATATGAAACTATAGAAATGATTCACTTGCTACAATTACTAGAGGAATGTATTGCAACTATAATAAGAGTGTGTTAGATATGTTACCAACCTGCATACCTTCTACACCACTGATGCCGACTCCAATGTCAGCTTCTTGAATCATTCCAACATCATTTGCCCCATCACCAATTCCTAGAGTCACTCTACCAGTCCCTTCTTTTACTAATCTTGTTACCTGGTACCAAGAAAATGTAATAAATAAATAAAGCACACAATAAGATTTCCTCTTTCATGAATATTACATGATTTAGTCCTTTTAAAACTTAGGGTATGTTTGTTTTAAATGAAAAAAAATCCAAAATTATTTTCCGGAAAGTATAGATTTTCTGATGTTTGGATCATTACATATGAAATGTTTTCCATTGCAGGGTTATTTTCCAGAAAATCTGCATTTAAAATATTGAGACAATCCTCCCAACTCAATTTACCCTATTCACAATGCTAAAATCTGAACAATGAATGTTGTTTAAGGGACCTAGAACCTCATTAGGTTAGACCAACCGGTAGTTGTTGGTACATTAGAAACTTATTATTGATACAATAATATTTTGCTCAATTCAAGTTAATTTTTTATGCAAAAATCATATTTCTTATAAGGAGCCATTTTTCATGAAGCAAACATAGCAAAATGCTTAAAGGAAGGAAAAATAAATCTTACTAGTGCCTTCTGCTTTGGAGATACACGACAGCATATAACAGATGCACAATCAACTGCTAAACCTAAGAACATAAACTTCATATCTTCCTCCAAGGCATATGCAAGAGTCTTCCCGTCAATGATCAATGCATATGCAGCATACGGGTCTTTGTCTAGTTTTATCATTTGTGAACCATTGGTAATTTGCATAAATATGTTCTCCTTTATTGCCTGATCAATAAAAAAGTGACCATGTCTAAAATGAAAATGCAATCAATTTCCTAAAGAAAATTCTAGTCCTCTTTCATGAAGAAATAGCTACCTCTTTCGAGTCCGATTCGAGTGTTGTAATACAGATCTGCTTCATGCCTTCTCTCAGCAGACTGCAAGCAAACCTGCAACACAAGAAAAGCTTTCATCAAAATAGATTCATGGAGTGCCTTGTGATTGTGAAACGAAATTTGAGGCCAAATGGAGCCATTAATATCAAAGAGAAAAAAAGATGGACCCTATATTTATGGCAGTTTCCATCTTGTCCCCTGTCAAGACCCACAGCTTTACGCCAGCTTGTGCAAGTTTATCTATACAGTGGGGTACCTGAAACTTAGAGAAGCTAAATCAGGATGAAGCAAACCAAAACACAAGTTTCTTGTTAAAGAATCAAGAAAGGACATCACATACCCCCTTTTGCAATTTGTCTTCAACAGCAGTAGCACCCACGAGAATTAAATCTTTCTCCATCATCTCTGCCACCTTTTCAAGCATTATGTCTCTATCAGACCCGATAGAAGTTTTTGCCTTCTGAAATTCATTGTTCCAAGCAGAATACTCAGACTCCTCAAGCTTTCTATAAGCCAGTGCCAACGTACGCAATCCAGCTTCTCCGTAATTATTCAAATGCTTAGTAGTATCTTCCAGATACAATTTTCCCTTCTTTGCTAATCGGTCGAAAATAATGCTGTGCCCAACAGTGGGAAAAAAATCAGTCAAACACAAATTATCAGGCCATTGAAGGGTACAGACTGGTGTTCATCTATTAATACCTTGAAGAAGCCAGAAGGGTAATACAGAGACTAACCTGTCAGCCCCTTTACACATTAGAATAATCTGTCCATCTTCATCCCTCACAATTACTGTCATCCGCTTTCTTTTGCTAGTAAATTCCAACAAATTCAGAATTTTGTACTCCCTACAAGATAACCACATGATTAAGATGCTAAAATAAAAATTCAGCAGAGAGTAGCAAAAAAGCACAAAAATCGGGCACTTTTCTCCCCCCACCTCTCAGTTGGTCCAGAAGCTAAATATCTTTCACGGACAAAAACACTAGATTGAGTTCTTTTATAAAACTCAAAACCAAATTCCCTGGCTGCAACAAGAAATGCTCCTTCATCAGGTGACTCCGCTTCATATGTATAAGTGCCGGTCTCTTCATTCAGCTCAGGAATAGCAGTGTGACAAACTGCCAGAATTCGGCAAAATAACATAATCATATCGGTGTTAGGCTCGTTTCTCCAGTTCCCTTCCGTCATGCGGCCATCCTCAAAGCTGAAAAATTTTATGGTAGGTTTATGAACGTTTTCATCTTTGGAAGTAACAACAGTCTCCAATTCAATATCTAGTTTGCCACTTTTACTTGAAGTAGATGATTTTGTTTCGTCCTGCGCAAGGTCACTAGCCATCTGTTGTGCAGCAGCACGTTCAACGTCACTAGCACGCACACCATATGCAGTACCAGCAATGGAACATTTGAGAAAATCCATCTGATTGCATGTCAAAGTGCCTGTTTTATCAGAAAGGATTGTATCCACTTGGCCCAACTCTTCATTTAGATTTGATGTCCGAGCTTGAGCAGGAATCCCAGTATCATCATCATACATTAGTAAGTCTTGATTAATAAAGGATGCTTGCATAACCTTCACCACCTCAATTGAAACATAAAGTGAAATAGGAATTAAATAACCATAAAGGATGAGGGCAGTGACCAAATGGCTAAGCCCTGATACTAAAGGCTGTTGGGGATTATAAAAATCCTCTGTATTATCGGGCCGCATATACCACCATTTTGGCATTTGGAACCTTATTTTCCAAGCGAAAGCTAAAGAACTGATCAATGAGATTACCAGAAGAAGGCTAAAAAGAACATATATTATGTAATCCATTTTCTTTTCTATTCTGCTCCTCTTTGATGGGGACTTGGTGGAATTCTGCATGACTTTGGTATCAAAACCGGTGAAAATCACAACCCCATAGACATAACTTGTATTGCGAAGCTTCGAATCTCTAAGGAGAATTTGGCCAGGTTCAAGAGCATAAGTTTGACGACAATATTCTAAATTACCAACAAAGGTGTAAAGGCTAGGGTTGGGATCTTCACATTTAATCATTCCTGTGAAGTTCTTGAAAATCTCATCTTCATTCAAAGACAATGTTACCTCCATAGCTCTCTTTACCTTTAAGTTTGTCTCACCATCTAAATTCATAGTCTCCACATAGCAAATTCCGTCCTCATAACTTGTTGACAAGAGTAGCAAATCTGCTGGAAAAAAATTATCCTTCTCCACTTTCACCACATCTCCAACCTCAAGTTGCTGCCACTGCTTATTATCAAAAACTCCCTCCTCTTTATGAAACTGTATTTTCCGACTATTAACATTCATATCTTGCATAAACCTTTTCCAATCCTCCAAACCTTCTTTTGCCATGCTAAGCCCTACAACAAAGGCCAAGGGAGCAATCATGCTCACGGCAGAAAACGGTGAAAGGGGTGTAAGTGAAAGAATTGCAGCTGCAAGGAAGTACAAATTGGCAACTCGGTGGAATTGTTCATACAAAGATTTCGGTAAGAAAGTGAGAAAATTATACTTAGTTGTCGATATGTAATTCGATCGATACTTTAAAGGTTTTTTCCTATGCATGTGAGGTTGGTTGCAATGCACCACTCTGGAGCATCCAGGCCCTTCTATAGGATGTGGACCTGCTCCAGCACACCTTTTCCCGCATGCAAACGTATAGAGCTGACTCCGCCTGATCTTCGCTCTAATCTTACCCTTAGCCATCTCTAGGAATCAAGCTTTAAACGAAAAGCAGGACACAACTATCAAACAAAGGGAAACCCCCCAAATCGAGCCTTTGCCAGTGGATATTACAGCCACTCATTCACAATTTGCTTGCTTTACCTCCTGGTTCATGGAACCAATGGAAATTAAACATAAGTACACATCTATCATTTATAAATTGAAGCCTGCAAGTACAATTAAGGTTCCACATAAAAAGCCAAATTTATAAGCACAAACATTCTGAAACATGCCATATGCAAGTCACATTCAATATCTTACATAACCCAGATTTGAAAGTCTTATAGGCTATTAAGTTCAAGGAACAAATCATAAAATAAGAGAAAGATGAGACAAATCCAACAAAATATATCAAATTTGATAGATAGCTAGAAAAACAATGTCATACACAAATCCATATTTCACCTCATATCCAAATAAACAACCAAAACCAATGAGATAATGCAAACAAAGAACTTCAAAATTTGAACAAATGAGCATATCATTAACATTTTGAAAATACCATCAAGAAAGAATTTCAAAAAACAAAAGAGAGTTACCTTTGAATATGGAGGCTGGTTCATCTTCAATACAAAATTAACAAAAGAAAAAAGATACATTTTCAAAACTATTCAAGAAGAAACAGTCATATATCCTTTGCACATCAAGAAATGAAGGAATACAATTAAAACACAGTTTCAATTTTTTTAATTTTTTGTTAATTTTGATTAAGGGAAGAAATTTAGAGAGGAAAGAATGAGGTAAAATTTAGAAAAAGTCATTTAGGCTTAAGAGAGAGAGAGAATTTTCTCTCTTTCACAGCAATTCCCGGAGTCCCTTTGGCTTTTTTAAATAATATAATGCTATTTTTCTATTTTAAATTTTCTCCCTTTTGTTTTTCGGTTTATTCAGTTTTAAAGAATTTTAAGGCTGTTTTTATCTGTACTTTTTAAATTATAAAATTCATCTATTATCTACATTATTTTTTTTATAAATCTAGATAAATATAATGTAATATATTAATATTTGTTCAAATATTCTCGATCATTTTACAATAAATACTTATACATCTATATACGTAGTGTTCAAACCTAAAACCTCACAGTATAACAACAATCCCTTAACTGAGGTCATTTTATTCCACATTATCTACATTTTTAAAGTAGATGTGAATTAATTCATTAACAATATAACGTATCGTTTATAACATCATCACGAATAAAAGACGGACAATCATAGTCCAGGATTAAAAAATGGATGAGTATGTTGCATGAACGGTGAGGCCATGTGCTGCTTGATTAGCTGAATGATGCGCAGCCTGAAGATGAATTGGAGATGCACATTCAACAGTGATCGAGCTTCAACAACGGTAAGAGACAGAATCGACATATCGATTGTAGGTTGTAGCAATACGGTTGTAGCAATACGAATACCACAATATATAATATAGCGTGAGCGTCAATGATACCGACAGAACTCGACCTTCATGCAGGTACACATTGCGACGTCGCCATATATTATAGAGCAAAAGAAGTAACTTTATGAACCGAGAAGGCTTATGACATCCATGAAGAACTTAAGCCAAGCACCAAAAAAGTGATGCACGTCGAGGCAATCACAGAGCGCATGGAATATAGTCTCCTCACCCATCCCACACAGATTTCAACTACCTACAAGAATTGAACTTTCGACAAAGTACGTGTAGAAATCAGTAGAGAACATAATTTTCACTTGTGTTTTATTGATTAGTAGATATATATATATACAACTCTAATCATGCTAAAGTAGGTAACATAATATATTACACTAAAGATAATTAGCCTAAGAATCTACCTAATAATCTGTAACACTCCCCCTCAAGTGAGATCATAGATATTAATCATGCTCAACTTGTTACAGAGAAAATTAATTTGAATTCCGTTGAGAGCCTTTGCGAAGATATCTCTTAGTTGTTCTCTGATCTTCACATATCCAGTAGTGATCAATCTTTGTTGTATCTTTTCGCGAATGAAATGACAATCAATCTCAACATATTCGTTCGTTCATAGAAGACTGGATTGAAAGCAACGTGAAGTGCAACTTGATTATCACACTAAAGTTTTGTAGGAGTTGAGCTTTTAATTCCTACTTCATTGAGGAGCTGATACACTTATATGATTTCACGTAAGAACTTGGCCATTGCTTTATATTTGGCTTCTGCACTAGAGCGTGAGACCACAGTGTGTTTCTTACTTTTCCATGAAATCAAGTTTCCTCCAACAAACACACAATATCCCGAGGTAAACCTTCTATCTTCCTTGCATCCTATCCAATCGAAGTCTAAAAAATATTTAATTTGATTATGACCATGATTGCCATATAAAATTCCTCATCCAGGAGTACTTTTCAAATAATACAAGACTTGTTCTACTGCTTTCTAATAATCGACAGTTAGTGATGACATATATTGGCTCAGAACACTAACCAGATAAGCAATATCATGACTTAAGATAATTCAATTTTCCAATAAGTCTTCTATACCTTTTAGTATCATCAAATAATTCACCATCTTTGAATAATTGTATATCTGAGACCACTGGAGTACTACAAGGTTTAGCACCTAATTTTCCCAACTCCGATAATAGATCAAGAACATATTTTCTTTGGGATAGGAATATTTCTCTTTTACTTCTATTCACCTCAGCTCCCAAATTTTTTTATTATCCCTAAATCTTTAGTGTGAAACTCAGTATGTTAAAAAAAAATTCAGAGATGAAATTCCACTAGAGTCATTTCCAGTGATTACAATATCATCCACATACACAACTAATAGAATAATGCCCTCATCAGACTTTCTAAGGAAAAAATGGTCAGACTTATTTTCTACATCCCGGATTTCTCAATAGCCTGACTAAAGTTCTCAAACCAAGCCCGAGGACTTTGTTTCAAGCCGAATAGAGATTTCTTCAAACGACATACTTTCTCATACTCCCTCTGAGCAACAAAATCATGTGTTTGCTCCATATACACCTCTTCCTGAAGATCACCATGAATAAATGCATTCTTTATATTCAACTGATGCAAATGCTAATAAAAAGTGGTTGCAAGTGAGATAAATAATCTGATAGAAACAAGTTTAGCAACGGGAGAAAATGTAACATAATAATTTATACCATAGGTCTGAGCATATTCTTTAGCAACAAGTCAAGCTTTCAATCGATTAATAGAGACATTAGGATTGAATTTAAAAGTAAACACCCATTTGTATCTAATAACTTGCTTACCAGTAGCTAAAGGTACCAAATTCCACGTACCATTGTCCTCTAAAGCAATTATTTCCTATAGCATAGTTGTACATCATCCTGGATAAGCTAATACCTCTCGAATAGTTTTTGGGGATAAAAATAGTATCTAAACATGTAAGAAAAGTACGAGAAGAGGATGACAAACGATTATAGGAAACAATAGAAGAAATTGGGTATGTACATGTACGTCTAACTTTTTGAAGGACAATAGGAATATCAAGGTCATATATGGTAATCAAAAGTGGTTGCAAGTGAGATAAATAATATGCAGAAGTCTTATGCAGACTTGAAGAGAAAAGAGATTGAAATCCACGAAGGTGATAAAGTCTTTCTTAAAGTATCACTTTGGAAAAAGATATTGTGTTTTGGGCTCAAAAGAAAATTAAGTCCAAGATTCATTGGACCATATGAGATATTAAAGAGAGTCGGATCGGTGGCCTACCAGTTAGCATTACCTCCGGAGTTGGACAAAGTTCATAATGTTTTTCATGTGTCGATGCTTAGGAAGTATCGATCGGATCCTTCACATGTCATTGCATCGTAGGAAATTGAAATTCGACCGGATTTGACTTATGAAAAAGAACCAGTGCAGATTCTGGCTTGAGAAATCAAAGAACTGCGTAGAAAGACGATTCCTCTAGTTAAAGTGCTTTGGCGAAATCATAAAGTCAAGGAATCTACGTGGGAAAGAGAGGAGGACATAAGAAAGCAACATCCACACCTCTTCACATCAGGTACATATTAAAATTCGATGACAAATTTAATTAAGGGGGAGAGTTGTAATACCCCAAATTTTGTTTAGTGACCAAAAATGTAAAATTTGAAAGTTTAGTGGCTAAAGTATAAACTTTGGAAAAGTTCAGGGACCTAAGTGGTAATTTTCCAAAAAATAATTTTTATTGCATAAATAGATAGTTTACTCTTGAAATTGGAGTTTTATTGAAATCAGATTCTTGATCTGGAAATTGAGTTAAAAAATAGAAAGTGTTAAAGTCCGGTAAAAATTCGGTAAATTAGATCGCATAGAAATTTTGGAAAAATTTGAAGGATGGTCAATTAGGCTTAAAAATATTATTTCCACATTTTAAAATAATGGAAAATATTATAACCATTGGATTTGATGATTTAATTCCATGTTAAATTTGGATCGTTGGATTAAAGTGATAAGATTGTAATTTTTGGGGAATTGCAAGGGAAAAATGGTAAAGTGGGATATATTTTGTTCATATTTGACTTTTGGAAGATGATAATGTTAAGTGTCTTGGTTTTATGGTAAATATGAAGTTTCATTAAGGGTAAATTGGTCTTTTCTCCATTAAATGAATAAAATATTTATTTAAGCTTAAATTAAAGGTAAATTAACATGAAATTAATATAAAATTTCATGTTATTTTGTTCATCTTCCTCATCCCAAGCCGTGAGCTCCTCCAAAGGTGAGAGAAAGTTTCTTTTCAAATTTTGAGTAATTTCCTTTGGATTTTGAGTTATGTCGTGAAATAGAAAATTATTCTACGCGAAAAACGTTATCTTTTGGTACCATTTATGCTTGCTAATCTTGCTTGATTTCAAAGATCCCAAATTCTATGTTCATATTAGGGTTTATGGAATTGATGATGAATCTTGATGTTTTTGAGGTTGTAGATTCATTTTCAAGCTTGTGTGATGATTAAAACATGTTCAATATTCCTAGAAATGTTTCTTTGATATTCGACCAAACTATAACTTGGGTAGACTTTGTGTTTT